GCCCCACTTCTTGTACTGTGACTGTGGGACCACCAGTGCCAGGTGCTCTGCGGATCGCAGTGCTCTGCGGATCACAGTGCTCTGTGCGGGGTATACACAGTCAGCAACTCTGAGAAATACTGTGGGGCAAGTCCGTAAATTGCCTTAAAGACAAACAACAAAACTTTAAATTGCACTCTCCACTGCACTGGAAGCCAGTTCAACGAGCGTTGAACCGGGGTGATATGGGCAAATTTGGATGTGTTGCTGATTAGCATATACTCAGTTTTACTGTCATTTAGATGCAGGAAATTCTGCGCTAACCATTTCTTGATGTCTCAGATGCAGTCATCTAAAAAGGCAAGTGGATTTTGATTATCCTGTGTTAACAGTATATAAATCTGTATATCATTGGCATAAAAATGAAAGTGAACATTATGATTTGCTATAATAGGTGCTAGAGACAGCATGTATAGGGAGAATAACAACGGAGCCAGGGTCAAGCCTTGCGGGACACCTGAAGTGAGAGGAGCTGTGTCAGAGGCAAAGCCGTCAACAACAACGGAAAAGGTTCTATTGGTCAAAAAAGAGCTTAACCATCTTAAAAAAATAAAGTGATGTGTGTGCTTGTGTGTTTCATATAGTACCTTCCTCTCTGGCCAGTTATACTTGGCAAAGATGGCATCATATGTGTCCACTGCCCCATCTGTCACCAACATAATGGCCTGGCTACACTCACTACCCCTCCCAGTCTTGTTGAACTGGAGAGAGAGAGAAAGAGGGGTGGGGGGCCGTGAGGGTGAACACAGGTGAACAAAAACAAAACAGAGCTTCTCTTCAGGCCAACTGGAAATAAAACCACTTACCAAACAGTCCATCTAGTTCCTTCCCATTACAGCTTGTAATGTACTTACACATCATAGAAGCTAATGGAATAATAATAGCATGCCTTTTCCTATACACACAAAAATACACAAGCTACAAGGGCATCTATTGTGGGTCCATTACCATTTTAAGATTACAGAGAGGAGTCATTAATCAGAATGAAAACATTTGTCATTGTAATGTACACTTATAGTATATAGATATATGTTATTGATATATGAGCCTATAGAAAGGGAAGGTAAATGCATCTTCGTGCTCATGTGCATTTGATTAGTTGCTTGTTTGTTATGAGGAGATGTCAAACCAGTAGTCTGATTCATCAAGCGCCTTACTTGGTTTCTGCATGATTATGTTGATTTAGCTACTAATTGCAGTGCACTAATTAACTTTGTGTATGAAACTCTTTGTTCTCTGCCTCTGTGTGTACGTGCGTTATCATGGATGAGTCTATTACTTACGTCACTGAGAAGATTGAAGGCTTCAGTTAGAGCCATGTCTAACATACCAATGCCTTGAGCAAACAGTTTGTTGAGGTGCTCCCGGAAATGCTGGGAAAGATTTGGAAAGGAACCATTATGATCATGGTGACACAAGCAGAGAACATAAGTGCAACCAACAAAGCAAAACATTTAAGGTCATTATTATTATTATTACTTTTTTGTGGACACAAGAGCAGGGGGCAGCTAAAGTAAAAAAGATAAAAATGCAAAGATATTGATTTTGTTTGTTCATACCACACAGAGAAACATAATAATTCACTTAACCATCATGTGGGAACAGAGAATGCACCAAATGCCTCACAGAGTCTTTAACCAACAGTTTTCACAGCAAACCGCCAGACTATCCTTGAGTGAAATGTCACATACTGAATAAAAGAACTAAAATAACCTGTTTTCCCTCAGCCTTTCTTTAGCTGACAGCCTTGTAGTCTGTATGCTTATGTGTGTGGCTGTTTTTAGTTGTGATTATACCACATAGGATGTATTATCTCTGTCAATTAATCGTGAGTTTAATGTTGTCAGCAACCTAATAGATCTCATGTGCATTATATTGCAGTAGCCTGGAGGAAACACACACATTGCATTGACAATATACGTACCTATTACCTGGTTCAATGTATTTACAGTACAGCACAGTTTTTAGATTAATCAACTACCTGCAAAATGTGTTTTGATGTACGGAGGTGAGCTCTTACACATGACTATATTACTGGTAGAAACACAGACATTATGTACAGTTTATGATATGGCTCTGTCTTTCTTTTTAGGATTTCAGAACATCCCAGACCTATGCTCATCATACTTCCAGGCTCGTTTCTCTTTCTTTCCTTCTGCTCCCACTATACTCATCTCCTCCTGTCTTCTGCTGTTTACTGATGGGAGGAGGAAAGTCTCTCAACACACAGCGGGGAAGAGGGGCATGCAGCACAAAGCCATATCAGAGCTAACTCATGTAGAGCAAACCCACACATACACACAGCCGTAAGCACCGGCAACACACAAACAACACACCAATAAGTATTTGCACATAAACAACCTCCATTCTTGACAATACTCCCATATGGCAAAAAGACACAACCTTTACTTTGATGTGGATAAAAAGGTTAATCCTTTCCTACAAAAGGCTGTACCCTGGGGCAGAGAAGACCTTACTCTGCATGTGTGTGCGTGTGAGTTCAGATTGCTGTTATTTGTCTCAGCCCAGTGGACTATGTTCAATCCCCGGTGCAGCTGTGTACTAAAGTGGCAGATTCAGAAAGTGTGTGGAACAGTGTGTGCAATGCCAAATGTGCCCAAACCTTTGTAGTGCACCACAAAGCTCTGAAATGTACAGAACATTTGCCATCAAACCCTTCATTTCTGCTTTTTTGTACTCAAAAATGATCACAGCAGTGAGCGTAATGAAGCCTGGCTACAGAGGCATAATAATAAATTAACAAAAATATCTTAAATTGCAGCTTACTGAAGCCTAAGGTTGTGATTTTTATGGCAAGTTACTTATCTCATCATACAGGCTGAGGTAATCTGTGAAAATGAGGTAGAAAATAAGTTGGTTTTGCTGCACAAAAGTAGTAAGTGCTATGGTGATGTGAGTCAGATAGAACATTTTTACATTAAATCATCAAGTACTGCAGTAGTCAAATATGATGTCAAACCTGGAGGCACTGGTTGGCATTTCATTTTCTCAGAGGAACATCTCTCAGAAACTTTTTAGAAGAAAAACAAAGCAAAACAAAAGCTCACCCATCAAAAGTAGGAACTAAAAACAAGAATAAAGGCTTTTCACTTGAACATAAATGATCTGTCCGTTGTGACATAACTGGAGGAAAATCTTTATCATAGGTTCAGATAATTATTGTGAGTTAAGGCCCAATATCAGTTTTATACAGAAAATGGTGAACATCATAAATCTTTATGTATATATGTTTGCTTTTAAATTGAGGAATATTTTGAGGAATAATTTCTGTTGTTCCTATATAATAAGACAAAGTGACATGTCGTTTTGAAAATAAACTGTTTTTATATTTTATTATACTAAATCTGAACCTGTCCAGAGCCTCAGTCTCACATATTCATTAGTGATTTTCAAATGACTGTACCAGGAGAAAACAATAGGTGATAAGGAAAGAGAAGCTCACATCTTTGTTGGTGACGTCTGCTTGGACAAGAGTTCCATTCAGACATGGCTCCACATAATGAAGTGTCTCATTGTACTGGAAGAATAAAAATGGAATTGTCAGAGTAATAATAGCAGTGACTTTAGGCTGTACATATAGAAATGTTTAATTCAATTTGATAAAATACAAAATATGAAAATATCAGACTGAAACACACAAATGCATATCTCACATACTATACTGTAGACAATGTACCCACCGCCTGCCATTCTGTGATAATACTCACAATTTAATGCACGAGTATGAAACAGACTTCAAAGTCCACATAAGAAAATGAAAGTACATTTGTTCAAAGCCAGCAGTTCTTCTCTAATCTGTCTCTGTGCAAATGCATCAGTGTGTCACTCTTTGTATGTGTGTAACATTTAAAAAAATTCACAACTCCATTTTTCTTTTCTTTTTTTTACACAAATGGGAGAACTTCCTTCATGGAAGGCAACACAGAAAAAGTAGCACAAAAAAACAACCAAAGAAGAAATAAGAGTCATAATGACACACTCTTTGAAAGTCTTGGGGGAAAACTATACTTTTGTGTTTGTCTAAATCCTTTTTTCTATATATTTTTATCTCCATTAAAAGAATATGTTACAGCTGTAACCTTATGAGTTATCCCATCATCATGAAAGTTTTCCCAGGTCCTCCCGAGATTAGTTTCAGAAAAGTTCCTACACTGCAGGATAGGTTTGTACTCAGCCATCTCTCAGCCAGTTATAATACTTTGTTCCCTCAGACTCTGAGGGCTACTTACAAATATAGTTTTTGTCATCACTATGCCAGTATAAAGGAATGCAAGCAATTTTGGTATTTTAGGACCCATATAATATATGACATAAAATCCTTCATTAATTGCAGCACTGCATTAGTTGTATATCACCTATCCTGTAGCTGTGGCTGCTTCTATATGGGCAACACAAAGAGACAACATAAAGACAGAGTTTCTGAACATAAACTTGCAATTAGAAAAGGCAAGTTGGATTATCCTCCTGTGTCCAACACGCCTGGACAATAAAGCTGATTCTGATCCTATGGACTAGACATTTTCAAGATGTACATAATAATTGGGCGGCACAGCAGCGCAGGTGTTAGCACTGTCACCTCACAGCAAGAAGGTTCCGCGTTCGACCCGGGGCCTTTCTGTGTGAAGTTTGCATGTTCTCCCTGTACCTGCGTTGGCTCTGTCCAGGTATTCCGGCTTCATCCTACAGTCCAAAAATGTGCAGCTTAGGTTGACTAGCGACCCTAAATTGCCTGTAGGAGTGAGTGATTGTTTGTCTACATGTCAGCCCTGTGATAAACTGGCAACCTGTCCAGGGTGTACCCTGCCCCTCGCCCAATGTCAGCTGGGACTGGCTCCAACCTGCCTGCAACACTATTCAGGAATAAGCAGTATAAATAATGGATGGAAGGATGGACATAACAATAATCCTAACACTCTTTTAGTTGAAGGTTTAGAAACCATAAAAAAAAGAACATTAAAGGAGGCAACTGTTTGAAATTGTTGCTTCAGAGAAAAACTAAATACAGTTCAACTTCAGGCCACATACTATTCAGGACAGAATGATGACATTGATTTTAGTTCATTTTGGTGAATTTTAAATAGCTTATTTTTTGCTGTAGGCTAACATGCATTTAGTGTAGGTCATATTCTATTTATGACCATAAGTTATTGTTTTTGATCCAGCTTAGTGCGATAATTTCTTGTATATATTTATATATATATATACAATATATAAGTATGTGTTTAGGTTCCTTGTGAGGCCACCTGCTGAAGAGTGTTTGTTCTTTGCAATCAATAGGATGATAGGTTTCCTGTTGTTATCAGGTATCTGTAAATACCTTATATCTACTTAAGGGAAAACTGTGTATTGAAGGTTACACGTGCTACATGTGGGCTGTAACCCATGTTTGAACATGTATTTAATCATGAGAGCCAGCTAAATAAAGACTTTTTTATTTCTAGAAGAGTGCCTTGGAATTTTATTTTTTCCATCTGTGCCCCAGTTCTTATATTTTTCAAAAGAATGACTTTCAAAATAACATTATTGTGATTTCATTCCCTTGTAAAGACTGCTTTTTGGAGAAAGAGAATAGAGGTTGGCAAAGTGACTAGCTACATTTTGATGTGAAACATGCACACATGTGCAAGTGCATGTTCACACACACACACACACACACACTCGTGGAGTATCATCAGACTGAGATGTGATAACAGCGGTTTCAGTGCCTCAGGCGGGATCCAATCACAGCGGTCTCTTTTGCAATTCAAACCCTCATTCAGCTGAGTGCTAATTGGTTGTGAATGTAACAGGAGGAAAAGCTGATTTGGTCCAGCGTTTCCTCTGATCTGAGGAGGAGAGGATGTGGCCCTGTGTATTGGTGCATTTGTGTGTATCTAACTGAATCTAAAAACACAAAGGTTAAGTAGTTTATGCACCCCCCCTTACATGTGTGTGGCCTTACAGCAATAATGTTGAAGAAGTCATCATCTCCAAGAGTGTCCAGTATGGAGGAGACAGTCTGCCTGGCAATAGTAAGCCTGAGGCCTTTCATACTGCCACTGATATCCAGCAGAATGACTACATCCTTTGGAGAGGTGGCAGCCTGGATGTACCACTTCCGATTCCGGCAGTCAAAAGCTATGACCCCATGTTCGTCTGGTTTCCATTTGATCCCTTGAAGAGCATCGCAAGATAAAAACAACAGATAAATTTGCAGTGATGCTAGAGTTGCATTTCTGACTTACTTTTAGTGGTATATATGCAGAAATAGATTTGAGATTTGTGCTGTCACCCCAATACAATGAAGGTGACTGTACTGCTCAAAGCACTGAATTACACTCAAGAATTTCACAGCAGCATATCTTTCTAGAACCTCACCCCATGTAGGCATCACAATGCAAACATCCACAGAACACATTGTCAGCTGTGTTAACTTCCTCAGCGGAGGAAAAACTTAAGCCAGAGAAGCATTCCCTTTGAGTTTCTCATATCAATGCTCCATAAAATGTGCTTATTTATCTGTTCCATTCAATAATCTACTTCCTATATACAAGACACATTACCTGCAAACGTTAATTGCAGCCCCTATATACCTACAGTACAAATGCTTTCCTATCTCTTGACCCCCGCCCCTATCTCCACCACCCGGCCTTGCTCTCTCTCACTCTGCTAGCCTCCAGTCTCTTATTGTGAGTCACTGAAGATTCCCACACACCTCTTGTTCATCTACAGGGAGAGAGCAACTTAATTACAGACACAAATACCTGCCCACAACCCAACACACACCCACCCTCACAAACAAACACACACTTACCTGGGTACTGTCTGAAAAAGCCTTTAGCACTGCCAAAGTACTGCCATATGAGTGATGGGTCTCTCTCAAAGTTATCCACAAACACTTTGTTCAAGGCCTCAGACCAGTACACTCCGTTGACAATAGCAGAGTCTAAGAATTAAAGGGAAATAAATCGAGGGACAAAGATAAGCACAGAGAAGAAAGAAGCAGCATTATATGGGAGAAAAAGTTAGCAAAGTTTTTACAGTCCAGGAGTTTGGAACAGGCATTTTTTTGTGTGTCTACTCCTATCACTGTAATATCATATCATGCACTGCACCTCCACAGATCACTATCAGGACCTATTCATTACACAGAGATACAGGGAAAGTGTTGGTAGAAAACAAAGTAAAAAAGATGGGAGTAGAAAAAAAGAATTAGAGATAAAAGAAAACTGGAACAGAGGGAGTACTATAAACTATTCTAAATTACAAAGGCAAAGTGCAATAACTACATTTTTTGTCCACATTGAATTAAGACCTGAATCTGGCTTTGTGACATACATTATTTCAAGAGAAAACAGCATATTACAGTTACTTCAAAATAGAGCTAAAAACCAGTGTTGTAGAACTTGAGTCCAGGACTCGAACTCAAGCCCGACTTGAGTCCTCCTGGCTTGGCTTGGACTTGAAATTTGGAGATGAGGACTCTGGTTTTTCTTAGCTTTTTTATGGGCTATAATAATTAATAAGATACTGATATTAAAACTTATTTGTTCAAACAATGCTGTATCTGGAAATGCAAGATGTCAAGATGATAACTAAGGTAAAAAGATTTACATCAGATAAACGTTATGTGGTGACATAGTCACAGCTAGACCTAGAACTAAATTTACTCATTGATCACCATCTTGTATATAATACACAGTTTACCAGCCAACCGGTTTGTTCAGCTTTACTGTTTCGTTAGTTACTGCTCTCTACCTTTGTAGGGCAGCATGTGTGCAACCTATCTGCAAGTATACCCACCTGCATCTACTGTAGATAATATGTGATAGAGCTGTTACTGATTCTCTCCATACTAGCTGTAATATATGATGGGGCATATCCAATTGCTGAAGATTTCCTTTTACAATTTTTGTCCTAAATGTAACTTTTAGTACCAGACAGTCAAGCTTATTACAGCTTCAAATTTTCCATTATTCAAAAGCGGGGTGGGGAAGATGAAAGTAGAAAAGGATGAACAGACAGACAGATGTATAATACAAAAAGACAGATACACAAAAGCCTTTAGAGAGCGATTTAAAAAGCCAGGAGGGTAGACAGAAAGGCAGGCAGAAAATTACTGAGAAACAGACAGACAGACAAGTACCTAATAGGCAGAAAGGAAGAAAAGCAGATAACAGATTTCCCATCATCTCCTATGCTGGCAACATTGTTGTACTGTCAACAGTCATGCCAATAAGCCATGATTGAATTAGTCCTCTGGAAGCTAACACATCAAGCCCTCTTTTGAGAGTAAACACCCATCCAACTCTATGGAGTGGAGTAGAGAGGAGGCTGAATTTGATCCAGGCTTCATTTACACAACAATACAGTCACTTCTGGTACAGTTTGAGTGTCTGTTACAAACTGATGAGGGACAGAGTATGGGCTCCGCTTTCCCTCTAAGCTGTCATTTCAACTCATCTCAACTAATGTACCCTTTAATTCAATCTGATCAAAAGAGCTCCCATGATTCCATATACTATAGTTACATTACAAATGTACTCAGAATAAAAAGTAGAAATGTGCAGGTTACCCTCTGCACCAGACTGAGCAATCTAGGCTGAAATCAACTTCATTTTATTAGGTTACTTAACAATGATTAAGGAGGAGGAGGGTTTTACCAAGGACTGGAAGCATGAGTAGAAACAGAGAAGAGTTGATAATGTGTGTGTGTGTGTGTCGTGCAGGCTAAATGCTGGTCCACACCTCGTAAATCATTGAATTTTAGGGTGATAACTTAGTTCATGGTTAATGTTAGGGTTAAGCAAGCAATGGTTATGGACAAGGCTAGGGTAAAGGTCCAGAAAATAAATGTTACGTTAATGTAAAGTTCCCACAAGAAAGGAAGACAAACATGGGTGTGTGAGTGTGTGAATGTGCTCACATGGATATGAACACTTCATTTTTAGAGAGCATAAAGGTTCAGAAAGTGTACGGGCATAGGAATGTAGCAACCTGCTGCAAATGTGTGTGCAGCATCACTGTAGCCATGGTACATAATCCTGTCATGCAGCCTCATAAATTCTGGTGGTGTTGGCTATGTTTTGGTTGCAATGTGACTTTGGAAGGTGGATGTTTGATGTGACGTGTTCCTCCTGCGATTAATCCCCAGGGGCACGAAACTCTCTGCTACCATGGACTTGACTTCCAATTCATCAGTTCTGCCACTGTATGAAGTGCAGAGGACAGCTCTTCAGCACCACAAATGCTTCAGATGACAGAGATTGGTCGGTATATTTATCAAATGCCTTGTGTGTGTGTTCTATGTAATACTGTATTTGTTATTGTACTATGCTACTGCCCTTTAATGTAGTGTTGTCAGTGCTAATAAATATATTGTGGTTTTTCTAATGGTAAGTAAGGAGTGAATGAAAATTGTAATAGCACAATTCAGTGTGGCCTGTAAATTTCTATATCAGTAATGTCTTGGTATCCTTCCACTGAAAGAAAGACTCCACACCAGGAAGAAATATCCAGTTAAGGAAGCAGAATTTTCTTTTGAACAATAAAAGTCAGTCTTTAACATTTTAAAGATTTTAAAGTTTAAATGGTACAGCTTTGTGTTCATATTTAGTTTTTTTTTATTTAAATTTCCACTCTTAATTGAACAGTTTAATTTTTATCTAGTATTTTCAATTTTAAAATGTTGAAAATTGAATTAAGTGTTAGAATAAAATTAATTTTGGAACAAAAAGTGTCTTCACTTGTAATATTTTACAGTTATTAATTTGGAATGCCTGTTACTGTAGTCTAATACTTGCTGTGATTAAAAACTACAGCACCCTATTACTGCAATGACAGTTATGGTATTTTATAGATACTGTGGATTGTACCACAGCAACTGACTAGCTAATTTCTGCCAGCAACGTACACTACCTCTCAGTATCTGAACACCTGCTATCCTCTTGGATAAAAGTGATACAAAGAAAATATTAATTCTTGTTCACAGTACTAACAATGTTGTGTTATTAAACAAGTTAAAGGTTGCAAATGCATCCCCAAAGAGAACAATTTAAGTAAGAATGATTTCAGTTGTTTTAAAGAATTGTTCACAAGCTGTTTTCTTTCCCAAGGACAAGTCTCTCAGATTCTTTTTGCTGAACAGTGGAGCTCTGCTCAATAATGAACTCCCCGAGGTCCTAGCCAATATAGTCACGTGATCACTCTCAGTGAACAAAACTCACAGATATAAAACTCTCAAAGCTGTGTGTCTGCGTGCATGATTCTACTCATTTGCATGAGAATCAACTCAAAATTACTCTTCATCTTCCTGGATCCATCTGCCAGCCTGCCAACCTCTCTGAGTACTTTCATTCAATTCCTTTCCATTTCATTCACTCTCCTCCTGTCACTCTCACTTGCTTTTTCTCTTTTTTCCACCTAGCTGTAATTAATCTGTTGCTCAGACCTTCCATTAGCCTTACTTAACCTACTTTCTTTCTCAATTACTCCTCCCCCCCCATATAATTTTTTTTGCCTGTGGTAGCTGGGTTAAGCCGACATGACATTCATTTTGTCCACTGAGCATTGTACAGGACCATGGCTTCACTGATTGGACTTCGGTAAATGGTAAATTAGAAGAATGCCTGATTATTTAACTGCTAATTAAGTCAGTGTGTGGTAGGGATAATGCAATGAGTTACAGTTAATGAACTCAAATCCTCCACCTGACAAAGATGTACTGCACATCCATATGTACAAGCACACATACTGCAGTACTGATTGCAGTGATTTCAATTGACCAAATTATTGAACAATATGGCAACAAATGTGGTTTTTGAGAGGTTAAGATATACATGATATTTTTCTTATTGCTTTTTTAGGTTTAAAGTGTTAAACACAGCATTTTTTGTATACTTACATATACTGTAAATGCTTACTTTTACTGTAAATTAGAGGTAGCACACATACCTTTGTTGTACATGTTCGTAGGCACCTGGACCACACTGAGGCTGAGGTTGACTGACAGGTTGTTAAAGTGGTCGTTAGGTTGCAGAATGAATTCTCCCCCCAGCTCGACACTATTACCCTCCTCATCCACCTCATTGATCAGCACTGCATTGAAGTATTCATACTAGAAATAGAGGGAAACATGACACAAGGCAATAAGACATGAGGTAACAACTAAACCTTGCTGAATTGGATTCATTGTATGGCTGGATCACTTAACCGTTGTGTCGAGATTAGTTTGCACACGTAGGTAACCTGAATTCCTGGATCATCCCAGGTGTGCATGTTGCTAAAATGGCAAGGTGCTGAGTTGACAAATCTTTCCTCAGCCTCTGCGCACTCTCTTCAAAGCTAGACACTGCATGTGGTGCTCTGCCTTCATCATATTTTTAGTACTGCGCATACTGAGGAGACTATTAATAAATCACAGAGCTAGATAAATATAGAGCACAAGGCTCCCTGCAGTCCAAAGGCTCTGAAGTCTGAGACACCATACAGGGGCACAGCCTGCAAAGGCTATAGCTGATACAGAACAGAACATAACAAACAGATGCTCAAGTTATTGAAAAGAAAATTTGGCATTTTAGAGTAAAAACGCAAAAACATGCATATCCTTGTCTGCTGACATATAAATGAACAACACATAGAGAAGATAACATCCACATAAGATGCCACACACCAAATTGTGATCTGTATCCAATGCTAAAGACGGTCAAATTCTAGCTGACACCCTGCTGATTCAGTTGGTTGTCAACAGATTTGATACAGCTTCAAAAGTTACTGAGCAAGATCCTGAAGAAAATTGCCAAAACTAAGATTTCGTTCTTTTGAAAAATGTTCATCTATTGATATCAATGTGATTCCAAATGCTAGTGGTAGGTTTTCATAGTCACTGAATCATATTATAGTGTCAAACTATCATGGAAATATTTCTTGTAGGTGTTATGGCATCATGGGGACAGTGAGCTGCCTTGGCAGAGGTTTGCACTCTGAGTACTCTCTAGTTGATATCCTCAACACGCTTTCAGTTATACAGCTGGTGAGTTTGGTTGGTGTTAAGCCATAGCCAATGGAGGACAACCTTTATTTACTACTTCAATAAAAAATACTTTAGTGGTTTCACTATCAGCAGCAGTGACAGAAGCACTAGCTGTTTTTCCATTGGAAGTGAATGGTGGTGATAACATGGCTTAAGGCTGCATTGATTTCTCCTGTAATGACCAAGAGAATAGGATTTGAAAAGGCCCTCTGAGAAGAATGAACTGCCATTCTCAAGAGTCTAATTCAGGAGCCTCAGTACATGTGTTATCATTCAGAGGGGGACAGAAACTCTCAGACTTTGATTTTTACAGGATGAGTTAGGTGGAAATGAAAAGACCATAGGTCTGATTGAAGAGTGAATCTCTGTGGCAAAGACTGCATAAAATACAGAGTTAAGAGTCACTATGCATTGCTAATTCATCACCAAATATACCTGAAACAAGCCCTTGGACCAAAGACATATTACTGTCCTGACATTAATTTCAGTGGATCTTTCTTCAGCATGCCCTGAGAAACATTCAGTCCCACCACCCTATGTAGTATCTTTGCTATTCTAGCACCAGCAACCTTCATTTGGGCTAAATGTTTTTAGCTCCTCTTGAGGATCACCATCATCCCCTCAGCGCGGTGCAAAACCCAGATAAAGCCATCAATTAGGCTGGTAAACACAGCACCTATCGATGTAATTAATCAGTACTGATTAGGCTTATTAGCCTTTCATCAAGGGGAAAACTGATATTTCAAGGTGAGAGCAGTGTTGCATATTTCTACTCATGTTTTCCCTCTTTCATTCACAGTGCTCTTTCTATGCCTATGTGGCCACAAAACTTAAAATATATTTTCAAACAAACAACTGTCTTAGACCTGTTTGTCTTTCACTGTACTCATGCTAAAGAAAAATGGCATCTTTAAATGATCAGGCTTGGAAAACCAACAGGTACAGAGCTGTACTCATGCTAAAGAAAAATGGCATCTTGACCAACAGGTACAGAGCTATAGTGAGATTCAACAGAAAAACACATGGCCACTCAGTGCAAGACACAGGTTTCTTCAGTCAGCATATCAGTATGCATGTCACTTTTAGGTTCTGACCCTCCATTTGTGAAAATCTGATCTACACTGACCTTTACAATGTCGGCCTTACATTTCTTTGATCAGTATGGTACCTGTTTTTTCACTGCTATAGGATGAATCCAAATTAGTGGACTTTGACAAGAATATTTTCTTTCATTCTTTCAACACGACGGGTACCTCTGACAGTGAGACTCTTAGGAAGGAAGAAAATATCTATTTAAATGGCATTAAAACCAAAAAGGACAGGAATGTTCTTCATAATAAAAGCCTTTGGCATCAGTTGCAGGAACTGCCAAGGATAGCAACAAACCAAACAACAGCATATCATTTGAAACAACAATCACAAAACCTTATATAAAAGCAAAACATACATTAAAAAAGTTTTGAACATCTCCACAGCTGAACTCTTTAATTACAAATGATAAAAGTGAATAGGAATAGAAGATGTTATTGAGAAGAAAAGATGTGAAAGCTAAAAGAGAGGAAAGAATAAGGACATGAGACAGATAAGAGGCAGAGGACAGGACAATAGAACAAGATACAATAAGACAGAATAGGCTAGATGAGGATGATATAATATGATATCATAAAAAAGAAACAGCGTAGGAAATGATAGAAAGTTATAGCATAGGATGGCCAGACTCCAAATGAATGCCACTGTTGATGCATATCAGCTGGAGATCATACTGCATCATCATCATCTCGTCTTTATATGCCTGTTCTGTTCACCATTTTGCTTCATCGGGGATAATATTTTCTGCAATTTTCCATTGACACAAAAAGTGTCTGGAGGCATAAAATCTGGTGAGGTTGCAAGAATGATGACCTTCAGGCAGTGAGAAACTCTGGCACGGTTTCACTTTCCAGAGAACTGCTTATATGCCCTGTTCATCCATCTCCTGCTTCCGCTGAACCTGACCTGTCCTCATCTGGCAACTGTTTTTCTGTCCTCTGCCAAAGAGAGCCACAGTGTCCAAAGGCATCCTTAACTAAACCTGATTATCACCTTCACAACCTCCCCAGGTCTCTCTCGGTATGTTGCTTTTCAGTCCAAAGAAATCAATACAAAATACACAAGCAGAGAATAAACAAACATCATGTGATAATTTTACTTTCATTTACTTTCAAAAATGTTTCCTTTGATACTTTTGTTTTTAACTTTGTGATTGTTCAGTTATTTTTTAATATTTCTTTCATTCTGTAAAATAGACCTATATGGAGCTGTGGACACACTTTTTCATGAGTCTGACTAAAGACTTGATCTTTGGCAAACAAAATACCTTTCAGTTCAATGTAGCTTATAATTAAAGTAAACAGAAAACACTTTCACGCTTTCCAGCAGAGAACCAAGATTTGACTCTAACCTATTATCTTGACTAGCTGAAGCCAAAACTGGAATGCTTAAAAACTGTGAGCTTAGTTAGTTTATAGAGCACAGATACACGGTGACACACAGATGCACACACTCACACATGGGACACAATGGTTTAGCCAACTGCACCTGCAGGACACCAGGTCCCACTGAGTCTTCACTCTGCTCTCTTTCTGCCATTGTCTTGTTGGTACCTGTTCGATCATCCTGTGTCTCTCCCTCCCAACCTGATTTATCCTCTTCCTTTTCTGGCTCAGTCTCCTTCTACCCATTGTTCACCGTCTGTATGCAGTCGTCATCAAGCCCCCCAGCCCCTTCTTTCTCTTCCCAGTATTTAACTCAAACGTGGTCTCTTATGAATACAGATCTCGTTTCCAACATTTGGCTACTATCAGCTCTATCTGTGAGGCTATTGTTGCAGTTGCCAGGTTGTCTCAGTCTAGTCCTCCTTTCTCTTGCTTTGCCTCCCCTATTTCACTGACTGTGCTCCCTCTTTACTACCTAAAATTACTGTAAATAATTGCAATTCACAGCACCTGTAGCTGTTTTACGCTCAAGGACAAAGTTTAATAGGAAAGTTAATTTGCAAAATATGTTTTTAAAAAGCATATACAAGTCACTACAACAGTCACTAATAACTTGATTTGGAGAAACAGTCTGAGTTGTGCAGATGTTCTGGTTCTGCATTCTAAGTGTCAGTTTGAGAAAAGGAAAAGACAAGACAAAACATCTCCAGAGGTATTAGCTGTTAAAAGCAAGAGAATATAAGTAAAAAACAAACAACAGTTTATAAGTGTGTTAATTGACTTATTTAAATTCACAGCATGTGGGCTTTAATTTTAATTAAAACTGCACCCATCAGCTTTCGAGATTCAATACTGTGAGAGTGAGTGTGGGTGTGTGAATAGAGGCAGGGGCAAACCATGGTGTGTATGTGTGCATCCTCCCAGACATCATTTGAGGATGTGTATGTACAGTATGTGTGGAAATGTGCGCGCATCCAACTGTGGGTGTATGTGTTGAGCAAGTCTATTACAGCATGCCATTCCAGCATTAGAGTGAAGGAGTGCCCAGTGCCACTAATGCAATCCTAGATCATGATTTTAACAACCTGATCTTTAACACTGCAGTGCATTATGCTGAGAGATTGCACATGTACCATCAGCACCCACTCACTCAGTGTGGGACAAACAGAGAGGGAGAGGAGGAGGTGGTGTCAGTAGAAATAAAGAGTGGAGCATACTGTACAGTATTTCTGCTCTGTTTCAATAAATAAGGCAAAACACTGTCATATTTAAGTTACCGTTTTACATCAAATTGTTCTTGCTGCATTGATTTTGATATGTTAAATAACTCCAGTAACACTAACAAGATATAGTAAATAGAAATTAAACCTTTTATCATTTTCTGCCTCCAAGTATCAAACTTTCAGTACTCTCTATTGTGGAAGAAGTATTCTTTTTTTAAAGTAACTACATAGACTGAGAATGTGTGGTCAGTCTACCCAGGAAATGTCAACTTAGAATTTGTTCTTACATTTTGGAGTAGTGAACATATGTCTATAGTTGTTCAGTCTACCCAGGAAATGTCAACTTAGAATTTGTTCTTACATTTTGGAGTAGTGAACATATGTCTATGATTGTTAGTGCTTGTTATCTGACCAAGCTAGCTCTATTAGCAGCTACATCTCATTCAGAGTACAGTAGTCTGACGGCGAGGACACCGGTGTTCCAGCTGCGCGTTATAGCTGTGTTTCCATGATCGGAATCTAAATGAGCGGTACACCCCAAGCCGGAGTCCTGAGCAAGTTACTAATAAAAATACATGTCACAGTCAGCGCTGCAAATAATAACAGTCTACTTGTATTTATTTTTCTAAATTTCTCTTTATAATCAGGCTTTCCACTAAATCTGAATACATTTTGCTTTATTCTCTTTTATGATTTCTTTACATTAAGCACTTTGAAACTGTCTATTTATAGCATTATTTTGTATGTTAATTTATCCTTGATTCCATTTTTATATTACTTTTAATGTTAAATCTGTAGGAATTACGCTATATAAATAAACTGGCTTCAGTATATCTGTGGACATGGACTTTACTGGTTTCTGACTGTCAATCTTTTGCAGTGCCGAGTGACACGTGTGCAGAAAGGCATTAAAGAGAAGCGCACCCTTATTGGTGACTGTAAAGGCTGTTATTTTCTTGCACAGAGTTGACTGGCTGTCTTTTTCAAACTATTGCACAATGTCACAGAGCAATGTTATTAATATAACCTTCTGGAGTGTAATTTATTGCTTTTTATCTTTTGTGTAATTTTTAAAATTATAGCCTTGATTATAATGTCCATACTTGTGATTGTCAGTGATTTAAAAAAAATGTGTATGATCCCCATTTACATTCTGTATCCTATCAGTAACCAGTCATGCACACATTGCTTGTACTGTAAGTGTGTGACCCATATACATATGTTCACATGCAAATAAAAAGACTAAAGGTTGATTTCATTAAATTCTTTTGCTTCAAAAAGCATACAAGTGAGTCAACAGCCTATAGGGACAAAGAGAGAGTGAGACAGAAAGGAGACCACATTTGAAGGGGGGGGGGGTTAACCGTGATGCTCCACTCTCTGGTGTTCAGTTTTAACTTTCAGCATCACTTTTGACTTTACTCTTTTCCTCACCTACCTCTCTAGATGTTTTCTTCACAGCTGGGAAAGAGGAAAAACAGTGCTCCCACAGTGTGGAAAGTGATGGGAAATGACCAGGGGGCATAGGTAGCTCTTGAATAAATGGCTTAAAAATCCTATCTTTGCATCACTAGCCATCCATGCAACAGGACAGTGAAGCCAAGAGTACTCTGGGTACACAAGCACTCAAATATTTTTTCACAGTAATAATACAGTTTATGGTAATACCCTACACAGGGGAGTTTAAGAACAAAAGAGAATGAGAGGAAAAAATGATTATGCTTTATTTTCTTTCACTATTCTCACCAGACTGAGGCTATACTTGCAGTCAACATCAGGCTTCGCAATTGGCTGCTTTTCTCTAACCTCCAAGGATGGATTTCATTGGCTGCAGATGGTATGAGAGACTGCTCTCTGTTTCCCTATTTACAGTACAGGAGCATTGTGGGTAAACGAGAGGGGGTGGGAAAAAAATCACAGCAGATTATCGTGCCAATTTCACACGGAAGCAGAAGAGCTCTGGAAAGGATAGATAAGGAAATTCCTATCAAACCACTGCCAGCCAAATACGTATGTATCCAATAGCAAAATAAAACACACACACACTTTAGAATAAACTCCAAATAGTGATGGAGGAGGTTGCACCCTACAGCATGGATGTGGTATTTTTAGCACAGGTCATGATAATTAACATAAATTCACCATTTTCTGCAGTAAAAAGCATTATTAGAAATACAACCAACAGAGCTGTGCAGAAAGAAACAAGCAGGTACAGGCTCACAAAAATGTAGATCCAAGTAAAAAAAAGGCATGTAAGCAGCAAGATAAAAAAAAAGATAGAGAATTGTGATCATAGCTACAGAATGCTCAACCATTTCATTTTATCGGCTCAGTGCAAAAACAAAATTAGTCATGAAAAGGGCTGAAAAATAATTTGCCAAGAGGAGCTGAAAACCCTGCACAGATACACGCACGCCAACATGGGCACAATATGGATGCTTAACAATAGTCAGGCTAGTTAAGCAGGGGTTTATTTGTGCCAGATGTAAGAATATAGGTGGTGGTGGTGGTGGTGGTGAGAGAGACTGATAGCAGTAGATCTGTCCTTCTGTAATCTTCCACTGAACATTGTAATTGCTTTAGTCAGCATAATTTTACCTGTCAGTCAGGCCCTAAGCAGACCAAATGGATCATCAGGGTGGTAACAGCAGCACAGGTGAGGGGAGAGAGAATGATGATGAAGACTGAGAGAATGACAGTACACTAGACATGTATAATAGGAACATCAGTTTTATAAAAATGTATAAATAAGCATATATTTTTATTAGGAGGATTTTATGATATTATTACTAAAGGTACTAAAATGAGTGCTCTATAGTTTAATGTGTTCCATTTATTTATTTGCTCTCAATACCCAATCCATCAACTCTGTGGCGTGGATTTTTCTGCCATTATATTCTTCTCTGATTAAACTAGACATTACTGCTGTGGTCACACGCCGTACCCACAAGCAACAGTACACACGATTGTCATTATTTTGTTTTTCCCGACACAAACACATTCATCGTTTTTTATCTCATCTTCCAACTTATTTATTTCCCATTCCTACACTTTTTTGGCATACAGATAATGCAGGTATGCTAATATAATGTATCGTCTTGTATAAAGTTATATTGGCTTGACTTAATGGAATCTCACTCAGTCCTAGACACTGTGAAATGCTACATTACACCGCAGGCTGTCTAACAGCCATTATCAGCTCTGTAGCTGTGTCATTAAAGCCGAAACAGAGGGACATTCACTTTGCTAGGCCCATCTCATCGCTGCCAAGTAATTACTGGCATAAAGCACTGCTGTGAGCCCACATAGTGCTGCTTCGCCTCAAGCAGCATATGACAACACAAACATACAGACAAGTGTCTACAAGTGACAGATGCACTCATCCAGCACTCAGGCTTAAACTATATGTGAAGTACAGCTAATTAATTTCTTTCTCCTTCAAATGCCACTATAGCTATGCATCAATTGTCTCTATAAGTAAGTAATCTACAAAATATTTCCTCAATTATTTGACAAATGTTCTAAAAACTGTGAAAAATACTCATCAGATATCCCAGGACAAAGGGTGGCATCTTTTAACAATACAAAAAAACAATCAATTTTTTATAATTACATAAACCTGGTAAGTTTAAAGCAGTTTTTTTTTATATATATATATATATATACATACGTACATACACACACACACCATTTATATACAATATCCAAACCAAACAGACTCACTATTGCCATGTGTCACTTCTCTTTAAAGCATCGGTGAAGTGTTAGAAGTGGAAATTTCTTTGATAGAACAGACGTGGAGAATCAAGCAGGTGACCATAAGAGATGACAGAAGAATTCAGAACTGGGCAGCAGTCAGTGGTTAACTGTAGTATTCACTGTAGTAACTGACCCTCGTTAATGATCCATGACAGTAGAAAAACCACGGGGAGGTTCACTGTAATGCCATAAAGAGCCCATGGAGTAATCATGTACTCAGTCATAGGCACAAACACAGGCTTACATAACACACATACACACACAGTGGAGACTTTAAAAGTAGTTTACAGCTAATGCTCCCAAAATGGCGAAGCATCGTATTTCCTCTTTAAAACTCAAGTTTCTGCTGTTGCTCTTCCTACTTTAATAAAGTCTGTTCTGAGATGCACATGATGTGCCACAAACCTAGGTAAAAACATCACAAGTGCACACAGTTCTGTCTTGCTCCATCTCTGGCTCACACACACACACACACACACACACATATATAGAAAAATGCAGCCTAAAAATTTAAGCTGCTCAAATGGATCTGAGGCAGAACCATGAGAGCAGAAGCTGAGTTTGGGGGTGTGTATATAGATACGATTAGCTGAATGCATTTGCCCAAATCTGCAAACTCATCATCATCATACTGACTGACAACCTATATGAGTAGACCGGACTGTAATCAGTGTATCAGCAGCAAGTATTATTAATAATACACAACATAATTTGTAACATCACTAAAATATGTAATACTAACTTCTATTTTGCTACCAAAATAAAAAAAAAAATCTCAGCAAAGGCCAGTTACATGAGAGTGTTACAATGACAGATCGAGATATCTGCTGACAAAATGATTATGGGAAGATGCAGACTGCCACACTTTTAAAAGATGAAGGGTGTCAAAGTCTAGTCATGCAAGGCAGAGTATAGAACAAGTTTCTTAATAACTTCTCTCCCTGTGCTTCACTTGGCCTTTTCTCACACTGAGCACCAATCACAGAAACACTTGCATGCAGGATACGTTATTTTTAGCATGAATTAATGAGCTTACAAGAATAGGGAACACACATATTTACTGCAATGGTGTTTGCGTGTTCAAAATATAGTGTAGCTCAACAAGGCACATACTGTAGATACGCACCTGCAAGTTTGGATCCTCCTCGTGCTGTAAGTGAGCCTCTTCTGCAGCCTCCACCAGTCTCTGCAGGAGGACAAGAGGAGAAATATAATAGCTTTAATACAAATGTGAATTGATTAGTGGTTCAAAAAATAATATGAAAAGAAACATTCATACAAGAGCAACACTACAAACATATATACTATACAGCACACAGACATTTTACCAGCTTTCTTAAAAGAGGCTATTTTGCTAAATGGTTCCACATTAGAGGTAATGAGAGCCTCAGGTTCTTTGGACACTACCACAGCAAACTCCTTCATCAGTTCATGCTGTTTTAACACATGCACTCTCTCTACAACACACACACACCAAGTCTATCATTGCCTTCATGCTGCTGCAGCCTGCTGCCCGTGTGTCTTTGAATCAATGTTGTGCTCTCTCTCCCCATCTTTCTGTCTCTCTCTCTCTCTCTCTCTCTCTGTTTGGGAATTATCATCTTTTAGGAAACAGCTTTTTGTCAAAAGGAGGCAGCATAATGCAATTGTAATCATCCTCAAATGAGAGATAATCATGGAAAAATGCAAGTTGCACAGTCCCTATCACAGTAAACTTCTGAGGAAAATGTGCTCAGCAAAATAATAAATGATAATAGGCAGGGATCTCTCCTCCCCTCAGTCACCAACACACACACACAAACCTCTTTCTATGTCCAACTATGATGTGCATGGTATGTTCTCATAGCAAATCATTTCTCTCATTCACAGCTGATCCCCATGTCTATGAAATTTGGTAATACAGTTCCACTGCACATTTCCATTCAAATGGCTTTACTCGTAAAACTACTGCAATCAGCCAGCTTATTCCAACTGAGCTCTGTGTGTGTGTGTGCGTGCGCAGGCAGGTTGTTTTGGGAAGCGAACACTGTAATCTAGAGCCTGGCCAATCATTTTCTTCACCATAGCAACACACCTGGCTATTGCATATTATTCTGTGCTTGATTCCATTCAGTTATCAATTCATGGATACGTTTCTTTTGCAACCTTCTTGGTCTGATAGGCTGACAGAGGACAGAGGAAGATATAGTAAATGCCTCTGTGGCAGAAAGGGCCTGGACAGATCCTTTGAACTGAATAAGAAGCTCTTACGGCTGCACGAAAACATGCGTACTAGTGCCTATGTGTGTGTCCAGGTATTTATAGATACCACAAAACCTCAAGAAGATGCATCTGCTGAAGATTCACAACAAAACGTGCTGTAGGAACAAGCAAAAATAATGATGGTAGAATAAAGGGAGAATGCGAGAGAAATGAAGAATAACCCCCTAAAGGTCTCGTCACACACTCCCAGCAAAATGTCAGACAGTGTGGATAGAAACACACTTTTCAGCATGTTGTGTGTGTGCATGTGCATGCTTAAGTGCTAATGTTGCTCTCAGCTGAAAAATTAAGATATTGGCCCCTTGACCTATTCTGTCTCACAGTCACTTTTGCAAATGCCAATCACTGATTGTGAGAGTATGCAGCACGAGCGAATGTAGCAATTTGTAAGACTGCCTGACAAAATGTGTCAGAAGAATTTTTGACAAAAAAAAAAACTGTCACATGTACACAAACACACACAAACACATTCATTTAGGCATGGCCATCAATACATTTATCACTGCTGCACTCTACTGAACATTTAAACTCTTGATTCCCACCTGCAGATAACTTGTTCTGGCACGTTATTCATGTAAGGTAACTTACAGTGTACCATGCTGGAAGATAGGAGTTAAAGCTCTAGGGCAAAAATAACTTGTATACTAGCAGGAAGTTTTTCAGTCGGAAAAACAGATTAGAGATAAGGAGGTGCTACTCACGCCTGTGAATTTCAATTCCACCACATCACCAGCATGAACACTCCAGGTGGTGTGTTTGTCTTTGTGTGCATGTTCTGTTGCTGTGGGCGTATGCGAGTGTGTACACTCATAAGCTGGTGTGTGTCTTGCATATTCAAATGTGCCTGCCATGTATTTTTGTCAATAGGTGGTCCTGCCAAAATGTATGATGCAGTTTAAAAAGCAAGAGGAAATGACTTTTCCTCTCAAGTTGTTTTGTCGAGGCTCAGACTCAATATGAGATGACAGCAATAATTAAACTGACACAGTCAGAAAGGCAGGCCCCGTTTTCTCCCTGAAAATGCACATACGCTCATACACAAACATGCACATTCACAAACCTTCACTGTAACTGACAGGAGTAAATGCTGAACGCTAACAAGACCTGCTGTGGTAACTGGATTAGATTTGTTAGTGCGAGAAGAAGAATCTGGCATCTGTACCTGATTACAGATCCCTGATGTGTCTCAGTTGGTCTCCATCTTTTCTACAGAGCTTTGATTGTCAGCACAAACCTGATTAGACCCGACCCTGGTCTGGTTTGTCAGACTCCATTTCCTCTTAATTCCCTCAGACTCATTTTATTTGTCGATTTGTTTTTAGCCGAGATCAAATCACAGGAAACAAAATGTTGCGTTAACAATTTCATAGTCCATTTCTCTGATATTTCCAGTTATGCACTTCCTTTCATTATCTGACATCCTGTGATTATGATTTTCCTGACAAAGGATTCAGCTTGTTTACACTTTAAAAGTTCATAAACGATCCCCCCTCATTAAGCTGTCAACGTGATTGGCTTATTGCTCTTGAACTGTGCTTCCTGTAGTGGGTTTCTTGATGGTTGAAGCTACTGACCTTAACAAATACCGGTTCATTATGAATACAACATTAAAGCCCTGAAAGTTAGTGAAGGCTGTCATGTATAGCTTAGCTATGCTAACAGCCACTGTCAGAGAATCACAGGCAGGTGGACCAAGATAAGAGGTGGGCAACAGCTTGAATCTGAACATTGTCCTGAAATAGTCAACTACAGTTCTAAACAGATTCACCTAAAACCATCCCTAGTGGTGCTGTATGATGCTGGCTCAGCCTGCATTTCTACTTTGGGTTCAAATTCACTGTTGTTAGGTCTTTGGCTGAGCAACGCTCACCTCCCCGACCTGACAATTATGACGAGCAACTAGGTGTGCTTGCTGGCACAGGTTCAAGCTATTGACACCACTGCTTTTAACCAGAGCTCTGGTGTCTCCTCCATGCCAGTTTGTTTTGCTATGCATGCAATGTACTTGTGCCTGCAATTTTTCCTATCTCGTACCTGTTGACCTGGTAGATTCCTGTGCCCTGTGTTTCTTTGTGCCTCCCAGCTCTGTGCATCCTGGACCTGCACCCTCCTGCCAACCTCCCTAGATTCTGCATTCTGCAACACATGTCCCCAGATCTTCCACTTGTCTTCTGTGAGCACCACACTGCCTAGCTGCCTTCACTCTCTCCTGAGCCCTCAGCCTTTGCCCCAAACCCAAGTCCTGCGTCTTTGCATCTCTACACTTCTCTTTGTCGATTAAAACTTTGAGTAAACCACTGTGATTACCGGCTGTCTGTTGTTCTGCCATTGGGGTTCTCCTTGCTTTGTGAGCCGACCGGCTTAACAACTGTGACAGTTGACAGTTTTGACCCAAATTAACTGAGATCACCTACATTTATCAGTTCTGTACTCTACCTTTGTGACTTCATACAAATAAAGCATAGTAAGCTGTGCACATGAATAATTTGGCATGATTCTGCTTGGTCAGATAATTAGCAATTCCTCATAAGAGGAATTGCTATAAGCGTTGGCCTACTGTACTACATCAGGGCAGGTCCTACAGGTCTTAGTTCTGCCAGAGGCCTGATCCACAGAGGTTTGGGTTGAGCTGAGCTGGATTGGCTTGGATCAGCCCATCAATAGCACCGAGGACAGCAATTAATATTGTCAAACCAGCCAAAGAAGAGTTGCAGTATCAACAAAATGGAAAGGTGCTCTGTGACACCTTGCGTCCTCTGTTTTGCACATTTAGATTGGGTTCAAGCCAAGGAGACAGCATGGTAAAGAGATAGAAATACAACGAGAACGTGAAAGAGTAGGGAGGGGAATTGCATGTTTTGGAACAATAGATCCCAATAATCAATATTTGAGCATTTTCAGCAGTTTGCTGATTAAAAAGAAATATGTACTCAACCCATCTATGTTGTCCTTCTCTCCTCTGTCATTAGGTGAATCCCAGTTCCTCTAATTGCATCTGCATTTCCTTCACTTGTGTCTTTTTCCTGTTTCTTAGTCCAACCCATGTAAGATTTAAGGGAAAGATATAAGGACAAACTGTGAGGAGAGAGGAACTAAGGAAACACATTTTAGCCAACATGAGACATCCTTTCCTCTGATCCTTCCTGTGAAGCATGCAATCACCAGCTGATTTCTGATAGGGAGGACTGTCAATCAGTAATGGATTTCTGTGAAGGATGCACTCATGCATCCTCGGTTTTAGCTCCTCTGGGTAGCCTCCTCGCTTTTCAGAGAACTTTGGGACATTCTTCATCATGGCGAACTGGAATGACTTCCGGGTCAAGCAAGGATCAATAAAATGAGGGAAATGGGATTCACTATTTATCTCACGTTTCCTCTTTCTTCACAGTTTCTATACTTTCATTTCAGGCTTAGAATGAACTCTTGACATCAACCTTTCCTGTCCTTCTAGCCTACATCCTCATTTCATCTTTCTATAGAAACCAATCCTATTCATCCAACTTTGATTTCTTGGTGACATAAAAACAAGCAGAGAAAAGGAGAGAAAAGAGACTGTCACTTTTCTGACATGTACTGCCTGGCTCTGCCTTGTCATTAGTAGCTATCACTCTCAAAGCAAACAGACAGAGAGATCTGATATGCGACTGAGGACAGCTCACAAAATGAGGAAAATGAGTGGCGAAGTGCTGTAAGCTCAGTGTGACAGCGTGGTGTGCCAGAGAGGAGGGCAGACAGGAGGAAAGGGCTGGAACACATCATTATTAATCCCTTTCATATCTATACACCAATAATCAAGGCAAAATGTGGGACAAACAAGTTTAACTATCATAATATACTTTATGTCTGCACTAAGGAATCAATCAATTTTTCCTTTCTTCTCTTTTTTAAGGGTGCTAAATTCATTCATAAAAAATGTTGAAAAAGGAAAGTGAAGACAAAAAAATTAAGTGTATGGAAGTAGGTATAGTAAGTGGAAATGTCACATCTAGGTGTTTGATGGCGTAGCAATAAAAAAAAAGACTTAAAAATGACTTAAACATCCACTGAAAAGCTAAAATAGCAGATCCATGACAAGTCTAACATTCCTCATATTAATGCAAACAACAAATAGAAATGGCCTCTTTT